CTGTGGGCTCAAACTGTGCTCGTGAATATTTTGTACTTGTAAATCAAAGTTGAGAACTGAGTTTTGTAACCTCGTAACCCAAAATATCCGAATATTTTATGTTTGTGCATCTGTAGATGAGAGTGTGTGTTTAAAAAATATTTACACGAGTTACAAATTGTTTTATGAAAGTCTGCTGACAGGAACAAAGCAAAACACTGCGTGTGAAACTCCCTGCTTCTGTGTGAGTTTCAGCTTACACTACGAATTCTTCCTTTCAGCTGATTGGTCAATGTCGTGTCCCTTCCAGATGTAACCCTCTCTTTTGTGTGCTTGTGTTTTTGGCTGTTTGTTTGGTATTTTATTGACCAATCAGCTGAAAGGAAGAATTCGTAGTGTAAGCTGAAACTCACACAGAAGCAGGGAGTTTCACACGCAGTGTTTTGCTTTGTTCCTGTCAGCAGACTTTCATAAAACAATTTGTAACTCGTGTAAATATTTTTTAAACACACACTCTCATCTACAGATGCACAAACATAAAATATTCGGATATTTTGGGTTACGAGGTTACAAAATATTCATGAGCACAATTTGAGCCCATATTCCTCCACAGTGACGTCATCACATACACTGACTGCAGTCATTACAGTGGTGAGGTTACTTTTGCACACAGGCAGGCCGCTGTGGATCACTTTGTTTCTACGTCATCGTTTCAAACTGCACTTTGTCTTTACTCGGGTCACCTGAGACTTTAATATGTGTAATATTGAAGTTTGATGATCAGTGTGGCAGATACGTCACGTGTCACAAACATCATCAGTGACGATGATGATGAAGATCAGTAATAAAATCACAGTAAAATGTCATTTTTTGAGCTGCAGTCATGTCCTTGTATCATAACCATCACTCTGTATTATTAGCTTATGATAAAGTGTCACCAGCAGAGGGCGCCAAACAACCACAGCCAAGCTGGTGACTGAGCAGGTTCCTGTAGGAACTAGTTTCTTCATACTGGCTGCATCCTGCAGCCGTATCACTCCTCAGGAGGAAGTGTGTGTCTACTCTGGCTCATGTGACAGGAAGGAAACATTAAATGTGTCGGCCATTAGAAACAAAATAGTTTTGTGCTGCTCAGAGCAGCCAGTCAGAAGACTTAAAGTGGGAGGAGCTAAAGTGTCTTGTCTCAGACTGTTACACCGGTGCGTGCACAGTTAAACCCTCCTCTTCCTCCGTGTGTTCGCAGGCCAACAACAACGCGGCAGTGTGCCTGCTCTACCTGGGGCGCCTGAAGGAGTCGCTGGGCCAGCTGGAGGGCCTGGTGCAGCAGGACCCGGCGCAGTACCTGCACGAGAGCGTCCTCTTCAACCTGACCACCATGTACGAGCTGGAGTCGTCCCGCAGCACACAGAAGAAGCAGGCGCTGCTGGAGGCCGTCGCCTGCCGGGAGGGCGACAGCTTCAACACGCAGTGCCTCAAGCTGGTCTGAGAGGAGGAGCAGCTTAGTTTGACCTCCCAGGCACAAAACAGCAAGTTTTATTGTCACTAAACAGATGAAGGGCACCCAATCATCATCATCCTCACAATAACCCACAGGAGCAAAGCCTGCAGCAGCGTCCTCCAGCGCAGCACAACCGCAACCCGAAAATCGTGTCCTCACGCCCTCCCTCTGACTGCTGAATCACACCAGAGCCAGTGTCTGCGTCTCCAGGTTCAACACACAGCTGTTCAAAAACAACAGATCTGAGCTGCAGGAAGGAAGGTCCATTTAACTGGACTACAAACTGGCCAACCATGTTTGAGTCGAGGGTTAAAGAGGGAACAAATTTACTGAAGCACAGACAGCAGAGACCCGCTCTTTTATTAGTCGGGGCAGGAAGAATTTTCAAAATAAAAGCCCCAGTGCAGAGCAAAGTCCAGGATAAAAGCCCACATCGGTGTTTCCCTGGTCAGATGGCAGGACGGCTTCATGTTTCACACATTTTAACTTAAACTGGGTCCAGTTTAATTCAGCTTTATCCCAGCTCGCCTTTTAATTTGTAGTAAAGTCTCAGCCCACTTTGTGTTTTGGGAGGAACAGACGGGACGCTGGAGGCGGGATGTCAGAGACTCCGGCGGGCATTATCCTGATTATCTGCAGACCGGACAGCTTCAGTGACTCGGCCCGCTCGTGTTCAACATATCAGCAGCAGGGTTTCCTTTGAGTTCACCAGGAATTATTATATTTAAGTGATTTGTGTTTACTTTCTGTGCTGATCATATTTATGTAAATGAAATAAAATGTGGTTTTAAGTGAAAGCGCAGCTCACTGTGTGTGTTTGACGTGGGAAGAAATGACAAACAGCAGCTTCATATTTATCCTTTAATCCAGAGACAGGAAGGCACTAACGAGCTGGATCCTGAATAATCACGAGAACCTTTAAAGAAGAGTTAAAGTCCTGATGAAGGAAGCTGTGCTACAACATTCAAACCACCCAGGACCTCTGTGTGGAGGGGCGGAGCCTCCAGGCTCACCGGGCAGGAGTTTTGCACATCTTATCCAGGCGTCGGGCAGCAGTCTAAGAGTCACCTGACCTCTGCATTCTCTCTCACGGCCAGCAGGGCGACGCTGCCCTCACGCCATGACATGCTGATGGTCTCATCCTGAGTCGTGAAGCACTCATGGTGATGTCATGCTCTGGTCTTAATGTTGTGGCTGATTGTTCCTCACAGTAAAAACTAAAATTTCTGTCTAAGAAGTAGAAACTGAAATTAAAATCTTCATGCTACATCGTCGTCCACATCAGCGTTCTCTGCTCTGATTGGACAGCCTTTTTCTGCAGTGGGAATGGCGTCCGCGGCACTCTCAGGATCCCTGCATTGACGCCACGTATCGCTGACGGATCTCGAAGTCGTCAGCGGGGCGGTTGTAAGCCTTCCACACCGGCTCGCCCACAAACAGCCGCATGGCCTTCGTGTAGTTCTGCAGAAACAAACAGATCAGACAGTCAGGATTCAAACCAGCAACCAAATACGCACTGTACAGGCGCAAGGCGTGTTTTCGTACCATCTCGTCCAGCGTGAAGCGGTGGTAGATACCCGCCGGCAGCGTGATCAGGTCCCCTTTTCTCATGGCGATCCGGATCCACCGGTCCTCCTTGTCCCTGACATCAAAGTAGGCCTGGCCGTCCAGGATGTAGCGGATCTCGTCGTCCAGGTGGAGGTGCTCCTCGAAGAACATCTTCAGCTGCAGGAGAAACAGGAAACCTCTCACTCACTTCAAATAGAGCTCACATTCCAGTTTCAGCACCGCCGACGCCCGAGTGACCCGGGAATCTTTAACACCAGGATTAAATCTGGAGCGTCTCTGCGATACACGAGTCTGACTTGGTGCAGCGATGGAGGCGGGAGGAGCCCTCAGCCTGCCTCCATCAGTGCACAGCTGGACTCAGAGGTGCTTCAGACTCCTCTGCATGCGATCATGCGCTGCCACAGTGAAGTCTGAGATGAAGAAATTCAGAGGACTTTTCCCTCCCTGCAGTGAAAAACCTAAAAAAGGAAGTGTGGTGCTTTTCAAATTAAAAGCTCCGCAGACACAAACACGTGCTGGTATTTGCAGCTTTCAGAGCGCGTGGGTTACCTTCTCCTCGTAGTTGGGCAGAGTGTCCTTGTGGATCGTGATGATGTCCATGTAGGAGTAACCCCGGTCCTTACGGATCTGCTGCAGCTCCGGGTCGCTTTCATAGATGTCGGCGTTCAGCTGCAGGAAACAGGAAGCAGTCAAACCCTTACCTGATGTGTTTAGTGTAGCAGAAAAAGTAAAAAGCACATCAGTGGTTCCCGTATCAGTTACCATGACGATACACTCCAGCAGTGAGTGGACGCCCTTCTTGGTCAGAGTTACATGGATAAGGTGCGTCACAGTGCAGGTATCTGGACTTCACGTGCTCAGCACGTGACCTGTAACACCTGCTCTGTGTGCAGAAAACACGGGTGCTTGAGAGCAGCTTCAGCTCAGTGACCAACACTGATACCTGCTGTGTCTCAGCTGAACCCTCAGCACATAGTTTTACCTGCTTCAAACCCGAGAACTCTTGGCTGTTCGGGTCCAGCTGGGGATCAAGGGTCTGCACAAACTCCCACCCAAGAACCGCTGACCTTTAACCCGAAAACCTGCACACGTGAGCGGCCTTCTGCGGACTCACCTGCCAGTAAAATACTCCGAGTTCCTTCAGCTGCTCCAGGCTCACCGGCTGGTGCGGCTCCAGCCTGTGCGGCCTCCTCTGGTCCTCCTCGGACCCGTCCATGTACCAGGCCTCCAGACCCATGACGAAACACTTCACAGCTGGACCCGCGCGCTGTCAGACCTTCTTACTGCTGCACGGCTGTTTCACGTGACTCCGGCAGCACTTCCGGTGTGCTGCTTTCAAGTACCTGGAATGTAGCAGGAAAAATGACGACTGAGTGGTCTGCAGATCTGTGACTGGTCATCAACATTCCAGCAGACACCAGCTCCCGTAAAAACATGACAGATTGGAGGGAAAACAAGTTACAGACAAAGAACAGTGAAAAACATTTAATGCTTCAAAACATTATAAATATATGACACCCAGTCTCACAAAGAATGACCCCTTAATGACCAGAGATGATGAGAGAAAACAGAGGAAAGGCAGACAGGAACACTGCCTCTGACATTTCCATTCAGCTGTATTTGTTCTATTATATTGGACTTTAATATATTTTTAACGTATTTTAAAGAAATTTTTACATTTAAAAATCTAATTTGAGTGACAATTTCTTTTGTCGCTCAAATTAGAATGAAACGTTTTGTTTAATAGATAATTTAACAATAATAAATTAAAATATTATCTCACACGGGCATAATTTCATAGCGTCAAATAATTTATAGACCCTATTTTTTTTTTATCTGACTTAACAACAGAATTTAAAAGCTCGTTTATTTTACATAAATCTGGGTCAAGTGTTTCTAGTGCGCAGGCGCAGTTGGTTTACCATAGCAACAGGAGGAGCCATCAGTTGCTGACATGGTGAATGTTTGTAGGTTCTTTTTGGGGGGCTCTTTGTGTGTTTTTAAGTTATTGTTATTTGTATTCCTTTGTTTATTAGCAAAGGAAAGAAACATGGAGTCTCTTCTTCGACCCGCTGGAAACAGCGCTACGGCGGCTAACAGGCTAACTTTAACGAGTTCTTAGCTTGTTTGATTCGGCAACATTCGAGCGTTCGCGGGTTTAAACTTTTCCATGGTAACTGCGACCTGCACCAATCAAAGACGTCGCTTCAGTGTGGGATTGTGGGTAGAGCAGTTCTTATCCAGGAAATCGTGGGGGGGAAAAGCGTTTTTGTCCAAAATAAATGAAATAACGGTTGATGAAGAGAGTTGTGGTTTCCATAGGAACAGATGGCACTGTTTCACAGGGTCGTAGTCAGGCTGCTTTCCATGGTTACAGCACTGTGGCTCAAAATCCCCTCCCTGTGGAGAATATGAGCGCCGTGTGTACAGGATCAACAGCACAAACCACAAATATAAAACATACAATGAATTCATGTTGTTGTTGATTTAAAGATGGCTTTTATTCAGAGTTATTAACATGAACCAAAGCAGAGTGTAAACCCTGCCTGTCTGACTGTTTCCAGGCCAAAGCCACGACTGTGAGAGACGCGCTGGTAGGGTTGCCAACCGTCCCTTAAAATACGGAATCGTCCCGTATTTAG